TACATAACTAACTGGAGACTCTTGGAGACTCTATTGGTGACTACATGAATACATAACTAACTGGAGACTATTGGAGACTGTATTGGTGACTACATGAATTACATAACTAACTGGAGACTATTGGAGACTCTATTGGTGACTACATGAAATACATAACTAACTGGAGACTCTATTGGTGACTACATGAAATACATAACTAACTGGAGACTATTGGAGACTCTATTGGTGACTACATGAAATACATAACTAACTGGAGACTATTGGAGACTCTATTGGTGACTACATGAAATACATAACTAACTGGAGACTATTGGAGACTCTATTGGTGACTACATGAATTACATAACTAACTGGAGACTATTGGAGACTCTATTGGTGACTACATGAAATACATAACTAACTGGAGACTATTGGAGACTCTATTGGTGACTACATGAAATACATAACTAACTGGAGACTCTTGGAGACTCTATTGGTGACTACATGAAATACATAACTAACTGGAGACTATTGGAGACTCTATTTTCGTAGTGTGGTGCAGATTTGGGACTGTACCTTAAACTAGTGTGATTTAAAGGGTGAAATTATACAAGTATGTGAGGGTGAAGTGTGGAAACTGATCTGGAATTTGCGTTGTTTGTGAGGTTAGTAAGTTGGCCATTACACCTGTCCTAATGAGTGAGGGTCATTAGCGATACATCTCACCTGGGAACTGTTGGTCGTGTAGCTTGAGGTTTGAGTTTAACTCTTTGTGGACGAGGATTTAAACCCTTTTAGGATAATTGTTTTAACCCTTTGGGGGATGATGGTTTAAATATCATTGATTTGTTCTTTGTTTGTTTGTTTGTTTTAAGCAGACATATAAAGGTTATGGAGGGAATAAGTTGAACTTGCTTTTGATTTGTTTTTCAATTCTAGGACACATTGCTTGTAGCGTTTGGTAGTTTATATCCTGAATATTTATCAAGGGTAAAACACCAATTCAAAGAGCAGTAGTTATATTTTTAGCTGGAGTGGTTAATAATGCAGCGATTATTGATGCTTCATTTATTGGTAACTCCCGACAGGAGAGTCACAACATTATATAGTATAAGTGTTGAGTCATGAAGGAACAATTGTGGTGAAGGTGAGTGTTGGTCACTGACAGGAGCCGTCGGTACAGACGCCGCCACTCCTGCAGGCAGAACCTTCGGCAGCAGGATCGCCAGTAGACTTGGTGTAGGTAAACACAGAGTTGCCCTCCTTCACCTTCCACTGACACACCAACTCTACGCAGAGTGAATCCTCACTCACTTGCTTAGAGGCGAAAGCATTTGTCTGGCCCGTTGCCTTTTGACACTGCTTGTCCATGGGGATGAGCTCACCTGGCAGCTTTGATGACAGATTAATGGTAGGGACCATTGCTGCCTTGTGTAGACAGTCTGCGTCAGACGTCATAAAGTACTTCTTCATCAGCTTCTGTGAACAGGGGGAGAAGAGGAGCTTGTTGAGTTTACCGGACACATAGCTCATAATGTAGCCGTCATCCCAGGAGCAGCTCGTTGCCTCACCCTCACCGTCATGAGGTGAACCTAGGTTGTGTGCCACCTCATGGGCGGCCGTCATCACTCCCACGTAGTAAGCGCCCTGGTCCTCACCCATTCCCGTGTTGAAGGAGCGCTTGTTGGCCTCAGCTACCACACAGGCGGCGCCTTTCCAGGCGATACCTGACAAGCCTTCTTTGATCGTACCTGCCTGTACGTCAGCCATGTCCTTCCCAGTCATCAGATAGGCCAAGTCGTAGGCAGATAAGTCGTCCTTTTTCTGGAAGAGCCAGTCGCTGACTGAGTTCAAGGTGTTAGCTCCATCGATGTAGTTGTCGAGAAGGAAATTGTCGTTAATGTAAGGTTCGTGGGCTGACTTACGGACGATAAGAGCGCCAGACAGGACCAGCTTGATCTTGGGGTCGCTGATGGCTGCATATCTTTGGTTAACGGCGTTCCAGAAGACGGAGAGATATTTCCTGACTTTGGTATTAGAGCCGAGCTGCTTAGCGAGTGTGCTGTCCACAATGATATAGACTTCAGGGGACACGCTTGTGACAGCTCTGGTGTTAGTCGATGAATTTTGGTTGTAGAGAACTCCTGAAGGCACCTCCAGGTAGTCACGGGTTTCGTGTAGAGGCATGGCCGAATACTGACGCACAGCCTGATGGGTTCCGTCAGAAGCTGCCATGAGGGTGAGTGTTGGGGTAATGATCCCCTCCACCTTGTTGTCGTCCAGGGTCACCACACTGCCTGTTTCTGGGTCCTCATACAGAGGGGCGTCCTCTCCCTCCATGGCCACGTCTTCAATGATGACTTGTCCTTGCTCGTTTATGGCTGTCCTCTGTAGCTTGAAGTCAACGCTGAGGGGAGAGAGAGCCGGCTGTAGACGAAGGTTGTGTCGCTGGCCGAAGGCTTCTACCTGTAGGTGGAGAGGTTCGAGTGGTGAGCGAGGGCTGGAGAGACGGACGGTGGCTGGAGAAGACTTGAGTGGGCGCGTCCTGACCACGGAGGCGTGGCTGAGAGCCCCCCAGCAGGAGACTGCGAGGAGAGCTGCTAAAGTCTTCATGGTGAGAGAGATGATAGTACCTACAGGAGAGTCTCGGGCCCTTATATACAGTACTGAAACACACCTGAGTCAACGCCACAATAATTGGCGCCACAAATTTAATAACTTAATTTAGGGCCTACCACAAATGATGGCAGCCGATTTATACAAAATTTACACCTTGTGAAGAAATATTTATAACGTTTGTCGCCCCGGGACCATCAATTATTACGAAGGACTTAAATATATAGTTTATAGTTTGGTGAGGAATGAAAGTTGAAGCTGCAGAAAGTTGTAGTTGGTGAGCACAGTGAAGAAGCTATGGAAGGAGATGGTGTTAATTGCAAGATAAGGCGAGACGTTGGCAGGGACGATGTAGCTGACCAAGAGGATCAAACACTACGGTGGTGGTGTTGTGTCAGGGACGGTGTAGCTGACCAAGAGGATCAAACACTACGGTGGTGGTGTTGTGTCATCACTCACCGTCACCATTAATGTTTCCTTCTGTGTTGATGTCATCGTGGAGGTCGACCTCTGCCGGCGTATATAACCTACTTATTGGTTGACAGTTTTATTTTGAGGAGCCTGAGGTGATGGTATCTTTCAGCCCAGGATGGTTAGGCCAGGTTAGGTTAGGTTAGTACTACAGGTTGGAAGCTCAGGCTAACCTAACCTAACCCATGTATTTTTATATGCACAAATTAATGGCCTTTGAGTTACCTTAACATCTATACAGAACGAAGGTTTAAGGGGCCATTTAAAAAACACTTAGTGATAATTATATCGAAAATCTCAGGTAATTGATTGGTGGAGCAGGTGGCGGTCTATCATTAACTCGTCCGTCTTGACTAATTAGAACACCGATTAGGACAGTGGGGTGATAATTGTGTAAATAGTAAAGAAATTATAGTGAGGGAGGTGAGGTGACGTGTTCAGGTGGATGGAATGACGTAACCTAACCTAACCAAGTACCCATTACTTATACTCATCTAAATTAAGTATATGTGTAACTTCTAACGGACTAATAAAAGAGATTAGTCCGTTATATCAAAGTCCGTTATATCAAAGTCCGTTATATAGAGATTTCACCGTAATTATATTGTGGTAATAATTCCGACAACTCACTTAAAAGTTTACTCAGTGTAGCCACATTAAAGGATAAGGTTTCTCGCGTGTTGGGAACTGTGGCTGTCCCCTGTGAAACTTGATTCTCGCTTTGTTTACTTGACTTGACTCTTGCTTTGTTTACTTGACTCTTGCTTTGTTTATTTGACTCTTGCTTTGTTTACTTGACTCTTGCTTTGTTTACTTGACTCTTGCTTTGTTTACTTGACTCTTGCTTTGTTTACTTGACTCTTGCTTTGTTTACTTGACTCTTGCTTTGTTTACTTGACTCTTGCTTTGTTTATTTGACTCTTGCTTTGTTTACTTGACTCTTGCTTTGTTTACTTGACTCTGCTTTGTTTACTTGACTCTTGCTTTGTTTACTTGACTCTTGCTTTGTTTATTTGACTCTTGCTTTGTTTACTTGACTCTTGCTTTGTTTACTTGACTCTTGCTTTGTTTACTTGACTCTTGCTTTGTTTACTTGACTCTTGCTTTGTTTACTTGACTCTTGCTTTGTTTACTTGACTCTTGCTTTGTTTATTTGACTCTTGCTTTGTTTACTTGACTCTTGCTTTGTTTACTTACTTGACTCTCGTGATTCATAGGACTTGTGTTTTTTGTGGTTTAACGTTTTATTGTGTTTTTTTTGGTTTAACTAGAGAGTAATATTGGTTTATAGGTGTTTTAGGTGGTTCAAGGCTTTATTAGTTGTGTTTATGGGTTTAACTAGAGAATTATTGTGTTGCAGGTGATGTTGCTAATTTTACCTTAATCCTGAAGGTGTTGCAACATCTTCACTACATCTTGGTTGTGTTGCAGTTGGTGTTGTTATTTGTATTTAACTTTATGCTAATTTTAGAATCGATTGTGTTGCAACATCTTAATAACACCTTGATTTTGTTGCAGGTGGTGTTGCTAATTGTATCTTAATCCTGAAGGTGTTGCAACATCTTAACTACACCTTGGTTGTTGCAGGTGGCGTTGCTAATTGTATCTTAATCCTGAAGGTGTTGCAACATCTTAACTACACCTTGGTTGTTGCAGGTGGTGTTATGGTGTATCTTAATCATGAAGGTGTTGCAACATCACCAACTTCAGCATCTTGGTTGTTGCAGGTGGTGTACTAATTGTATCATAATCCTGAAGGTGTTGCAACATCTTAACACATGGTTGTTGCAGGTGGTATTGCTAATTGTATCTCTTAATCCTGAAGGTGTTGCAGCATCTTAACTACACTGTAGATTTATTACAGGTGGTGTTGCCTAATTGTATCTTAATCCTGGGTGTTGCAACATCTTAACTACCGCATGGTTTATTTGCAGGTGGTGTTCGCCCTCAACCACACATTATCCCAACAAGAGATACTAAGGGCGGGTGATGGTCGCCTTTTACACCACCGATCACCTCATAACTCACTACAACTGTGGCGACCTTGATGCTGTTATATTTTCCCAAGATACCACCCAGGTGAGTTGGCTCCCCATGTTACACACACACAGACACACACACACACACACCTTGATTACGATGATTTAACCTCCTGAGTAAAATGCTATTGTACTCAAGAGGTTAAATCATAGTACACAATGGGTGGAATTGTTATAGCTAGAGGGGTTAAATAATCGTACTCAAGGGGTTGAATCATCGTATTCAAGGGGTTAAATCATAGTACTCAAGGGGTTAAATCATCGTACTCAAGGGATTAAATCATCGTATTCAAGGGGTTAAATCATCGTACTCAAGGGGTTAAATCATCGTACTCAAGGGATTAAATCATCGTACGCAAGGGGTTAAATCATCGTACTCAAGGGGTTAAATCATCGTACTCAAGGGGTTAAATCATCGTACTCAAGGGGTTGAATCATCGTACGCAAGGGGTTAAATCATCGTACTCAAGGGGTTAAATCATCGTACTCAAGGGTTTAAGAGTAATAAGGACATTAGTAGCAACATCACGTGTCATAACAGTGGAATAACAGTAGAATTAATTTGTATATCATTACCATCATCTCCTTCCCCTTCTTCGTCCCCCCTGGCAGGTTCCTCATTTAGGCAACGCATCACTCCCGCCGGTGGACGCTGCCACGGCCACCCACATCGACGAGTACTTCAGAGAGGAACTCATCTACAGGAGGAACAAGCGTATGGGACGTCGTGTTGTGGAAATCCTGAGAGCTAATCCCGACCAGAGCTTCTTCTTCGCCTTCGGTGCAGGTAAGTACCCCAGAGGGAGGATTAGTGTTGCCCCCTTATACTCCCCACCCACTAACCCCTCACTCCCTCCCTCACCCCCTCTCTCCCTCATTCTTTCACTCTCCTACTCACTCTCATCCTCACCCTGCATTCCTCACTCCCTCACCCACCCTCACTCCCCATCCTCACCCCCACCCTTCACCCCCCCCTCACCCCCACATTCATCTTTTTAGGTCGTCAAAAAACATATTTGACTCGTTACGGGTCTGGCGCAGCTGTAAGGGCTGTATGGTAATCACCCCGACCTTCTCCTCACACTTTAATTTTTTACCGGAGCTTCGTATCCAAACACTTACCTTATTCTAATGACTTATGACCAGGAACTATTCATTGTGTTTTATGTATGTATGTATGTATGTATGTATGTATGTATGTATGTATGTATGTATGTATGTGTTTTGATCTGGGCTTATATATTCAATTAAATATATAGACAAAATAAAAATAAAATAATTAAGTACAAAAAAAATCTTGATGAACGTAGTAATATTTTAACGTTGATTTACTTGTACTAGTTAATGTGTAGTGAAGATGTTACTTGATTATGGTGTTTCAATGTTCATATCAGTACCGCTGCACTCGTCGGCTCTACAAGATTTGATTTGTGGGTTAGCGAGAGCGTCTTGTGGGTTAGCGACGGCGTCTTGTGGGTTAGCGAGAGCGTCTTGTGGGTTAGCGAGAGCGAGGACGTGCGAGTTAGCGAGAGCGGCGTCTTTAATCCAACTATTTATGAAGTATTAAATTATAGTTATCTGAGGCCACACCGCCTATGATCCCATTATTCCCCAGAAATATTGACCCAGCGAGTGTGATTTAAGAGACTAGCGGGAGTTTATCATGATTTTTGGCCAGTGAAATGCGCGAAACCTCTCTACATATTTTACCTCTGATCTATTAATACGGACCTATGATAAAACCTATATACCTTAACCATATACGAATATTTTAAGGGTTTTTTTTATGGTAGAAGTAATGGCTCGTAAATTAGTGTTATAAAAATTGTAAGGGGTTGGTGGTGGCTGTGTGGGTTTCGTAAAGTGGTCCTTACCCTAACACCTTGTTCTTGTTTATGGCTGCCAGGGTTCCTACACTTATGACTTGTGTTATTCATCTCTCGTCTATTACTGGGGTATAATTGGATTACTTCAAGATACTGTCCCTTCCTTACACTACGTTATTTCACTTGAAGATTAAACATCGTAATCCTAATCTATCCTAAACCTAACCTATCCTATCCTATTCTGACCTAACCTAACGATGGAGAAAACAACATTGGGGAGGTTAGTGGCGTGGGTTGTCTCCGTCCTTCACCCCGGGGAGCTGTTGGCCGCCCGCTGACCTGGTCGAGGGTCCCCTGCCCACCCACTGTCATGGTCAAGAGGCGCTGAGAGAGAGAGAGAGAGAGAGAGAGAGAGAGAGAGAGAGAGCCTGGGAGTGTAGGAGATGGCCAATATGGGAGTGTAGGAGATGGCCAATATGGGAGTGTAGGGGAGATGGCAATATGGGGTGTGGAGATGGCCAATATGGGGTGTGGGGAGATATGTGTGTATGGGGGTGTAGGGAGGGGTGGGGGGCAACAGCTTGTGTATCACTGAGGAAGGTTTACAATGTGTCGGTGAGGAAGGAGGAGGAGAAGAGGAGGAGGGTAGAAGAGGAGGAGGAGGGGGGAGAAGAAGAGGAGGAGGAGGGGGGGGAGCTGCCCGTCCACACAATCTATAGTTTGTGAGACTAACAAAAATAAGATGCTGTGTTAAAAGGTGTTTATGTATTGTCTAAGATTACCGTTGGCTATGTTGCTTGGTTGGAACCCTTTCACCCTCTCACCCTCTCACCCTTTCACCCTCTCACCCTCTCACCCTTTCATCCTCTCACCCTCTCACCCTCTCACCCTCTCACCCTCCCTGGTCAACACTGCCAGCGGGAGGGTGAACAACTACCTTCACCCTCCTTGATGTATTACCTAAACACCAGCATCAAATATGGGGAGTTTTTTCTCATTCAACCTCATTGTAATTTGTAATGAGAAAGAGGTTTGTTTATATGATGACGTGTCCTGGGTTAGGTTAGGTTAGGTTAGGTTAGGTTAGGTTAGGTTAGGTTAGGGTATTGACTTTAATCCATTTAGAAGGGATGGCTGCTGGGTAGTGAAGATTATCCTTATATATATTACGGGATGAGGTGATTTTAGTTAAGTGTTTACCTCTTGTTGTGGTTCATTGAGTGTTATTGCAATTTTTCCCCCCAGGATGTAATATACGAGACAGGACGTAGTGACTGGGGAAAAAAAATCATCACCCAGTCTTCTTTCTATTCCCAGTACACCTCCTGGAGCGTGGGTGTTAGTCCTAGTAATAAATATCCCGCTGGTTGATTTATACAAGGCAGGAACCTTTATTAAATATCCTCTTTTGGTAGACTATTCCGAGCCCTGTGGGGGGAGGGTGTAACTGAGGTAGGAGGGGAAGACACATTATACATCACACAATAATGAACTCTATACTGAAGACCATAAGAGTCGATAATCATATGTACTGTACTCAGGAGGTATCCCCCCCCCCCCACACACACATACGAGTTATTTTTGATAGTCTTGTTTATATGATGATAACACGTAAACCATTTTAACATAGCCAACAGTAATCTTAAACGTAGCCAACATTAAATCCTCCTCCTCAAAGGGTTAAATCATCATCGTCAAAGGGTTAAAATTTATTGATATGTAGAATTAAATAAATGCGTACTTGGTTAGGTTAGGTTAGCACAGACGCGTTACACCAGCCTAGGACCACTGCCTTGTTGTTTGTCCTACCTTGTGTGGTGACCTCCGGCTCCCTCACCCCCACGACGCTCTTGTGGCCTCTCACAGCCTCTCCTTCCTCGCCTAACTGGTCCTTGATTGCCTCCCTGAGTCCCGTGGCTACTAGGGTTCTGTTGGTATAATGATATCCAGCTGGGCCTAGTCTGGCCTCACTGGAGGTTTGGAGGTTCTCCATGATGCCTTGGGCGGAGGTTGAAGATGCCGCGTTGAGGTCACACTCCCTCATCAAAGACGCCGAGGAGTGCTGCTCTACCTCAGTGCCAGGAGGCTGCCTCACGCCCTCCTGTGCTAAGTATAGGTCAGTTTCTCCTGTTACTTACGACCCTCGCCCGGGAGGAAGACCAGCCTCTAGGGGAGAGGCAGTAGTTGTTCACTATGTGGCCTCAGCCCTCAAGTGGACGCCATTTTGTCAGATAAACCCCAAGACTCGCTGCGAATTTGTTTTGAACCAGAATGTTTATGATAACTTGACTATGAATGAAGGTTTAGACACAGAAGCAAGATGACCACTACGCCTTCATATGTATACCCGACATGTGTAGTTCAACATCTTTTCGGTCACATTGTGTATGTATATTCTCTCCTAATGCCATTCATATATACATAAGGTGAAAGCGGGTTTGCATTTTGTCTTGTGGAAATATTGGAACATTTATACTCCCTCGTGTGCCATAATGGGGGTCATGTATATATACTCTGTCCATATACGCTGAGTTACCTGAGAGCCTCTTATAGTATGTACACACACACACGCCATTACACTCTTCTGTGTGTGTGTGTGTGTGTGTGTGTGTGTGTGTGTGTGTGTGTGTGTGTGTGTGTGTGTGTGTGTGTGTGTGTGGTGAGAGATAGAGATTTTTCAACGTTACTGTGTGTACGTGTGTGTTTGTAAGTGTTACTGTGTGTTTGTAAGTGTTACTGTGCGTGTGTTTGTTTGTAACTACGTATGTATGTGTTACTCAGTGTGTGTATGTATTTATATGACCACCTACACTTTACAGCTAGACAGATAATACTCATTACACACCAAGAATATCTAGTCATTCAAATTAAAGTTTCATTTTAACTTCTACCTATTGAATCACTCTCTTATTTCACCTCGTTTATTACACCCAACAGCCATTATTGATCAGGTGAAGGGAAATGAAGATAAATAATGCTCCTTTTGTGACAGTGAGAGCATAATTTATCGTGTTGTCACAATCAGATTACTCAGCCCTCAGTTCAACCTTCTTGCAATTGCTGATGAGATGCTTCGTTAGATTATGTTTCTCTCTGTGTTTGTTTTGCTGGCAGTGTTCGATGACTTTAATTTATTTACCTCATTTATTTCTGTAATGTTAAGACTTGTATTTGAATTTGTGTATTTTTAAATAATTATTCGTATATCGTGATAATGGACAATAGCAATTTATTTTTTTCGCAATATCAAATTATTATTTTTTCCTGACGTATCTATTTGACGTTATCTGGGTGGGGGGAGAGCATCGTCGTAATATTGAAGGTTCCATTATAGAGAGGTGAGCGGTGTAATGTGTCATAATAGAGCGTTGATTGCTACCCCAACTTCCCATCAGAAGCAATAATACACGGTAAATATTTGGTAGCTCCATCGGTGATAATTGAAAGAAGACGAAGCTGCCCGCCCGCCGTTATAGAAAACTGTCGCGAGTGATGGGGAGACGCGTCCAATATTTACTCCGCTGATGGAACGCCGAAAATGTTGACACTTTTATTTTGTGATATAACTTTGTCCTGCCTGGCTGTTTGACGATCGTATCTTGCTGGTTATTTACTCTGTGTGTGTGTGTGTGTGTGTGTGTGTGTGTGTGTGTGTGTGTGTGTGTGTGTGTGTGTGTGTTAATGTATCTAAAATAACAATATCTTCAATACTATAGAAAAAACGTAGAAAATATTACTTATTGACAATTGAAATATAGTAATGATGTTCACAGCTAAAAGAACATCTGCTATTGAACATATGACAGACCCACATAATGCCCTCATCTCATAATGTGTTTTTACAGTGACACAGAAACCTAACCTACATTCCATTACCCTTGAACACCCAACAAAATAGATATGTCTGGGTGGCAATCATTACAGAAGACACAGTTTCTTGTTTGATAGATACATTCCCTAAATATCATTATACTTTTCTAAATGTTCTCTTGCTTGCAGGTCATTTCTTGGGTAACCATACGGTGCTGGACGTGGTGCGTGCTGCTGGGTTAGTTGTACAGCATGTTGGGCCAGAGATTAGAATTAAGAGGTGAGTTAAGTTCACTCGTCCCTCCCTCACGCACTGTATTAGCCTCCGTGGTTTCCTTAGGTATATTCTGACTTCAGTTTTGAGTATTATTTCTGGTGCTACTAATTAGATTTAAAGAAGAATTTATAATACCTTAAATTCTGAAAACTCCCTATATGTTTTAGAGAAGCTATTTTCTGATCATTAATGCTCAAGAATATTGGTGTTAATGTCACTCCTAAGGTCAGTTGTGATCAGATTTTGAGATTATCTTCAGGAGGGAAATTAAGTTTGAAATCTGGATTCCCTCAGGCGACAATCTTGATGTTTTCCTCTGTAGTATCTGTGTATCCACCTGGCTACTTGCATTCTTGTATCAGAGCTTCACATTTTCAAGAATAAACCAAACCTCCAATAATCCAGCACAAACCTTATTCTTGACCACACACGATTTATACACAGTCCTGGGTCAAGAACAATCTTCAGTTTATGCAGTAAGGATCTAGATACAGTGAAACCTCTATTTAATGGACTACTGTAGAATATGGAGAGGAAATTCCTTTATATCAAGGGTCCATTAGACGTGAAACCCTCCATCTAACGTATTATATGGCGATAAATGTCCTTTATATAGAGGCTTCACTGTAAGACCTCTATACTTGTGCTAATCAATGAACTCTACAGGCACAAGCGGAAGAGAGGGCACCGAGGAGGAATCGTACCCGAGCCGTCAGTGTTGAAGGACTTCTTCACGTCCAGCACCCTAGATGCTCAGCAGCAGCATGACCCAGCTTTTGCCAAGTAAGAGAACCCGAGTTACTTTTGGTCATTATGGATGCCTTTTTCCTCAGCAGCAAACTCTTCAACTACAGTAATGTACCGGTGAACCTCTATTTACGAACATTGAATTTACGAACTTTCAGAGATATGTACATCGTTGTTTAAGGGGATTACTTGTCAGAGAATGTGTTTACTGTGAATAAGACTGAATTATATTGGAAGAAAATGCTTGATAAAACATTCATTGCCAGGTTTTAAGGCTCTACAAAACATAATTATTTTATCTCTCAATATGTTTAGTATCTACAAGAGTAAAGTTGGACTTACGAACAAATAGACTTTATAATAAACCTCGGTGACATTGTGGGGCACGGGTTATTTGGGTTCACACTCAGGATGGGATGGAGAAAGGAAACTCACAATGTGCTCTCTGTATACATGTTGTATTGGATGTACAATGCAGCTTGGTGCTGGGAAGTGGCAGCGTGGTTACAAGCGTGATGTAGAGAGAGCTGGTTGGTGAGGATGCTCAGAGGAGGACCAGCTTGTGGGTCGCCATGCTCGCCGGCGGGAGCGAGGGCCGCCAGGCAGCGGCGGAAGAGGTGGTGTTGCTTGCTGTAGCTAGAAGAAAAGAGAGGTCACCACGAGGTCAGGCCTTAAATAGCGGAGGTAGGCGTGGCTTAGTAGTTGACCTCCGTCATGTAAGGCGGCTTTGGTTGACCTAGACCACGAGGCATTCACTGGGGAATTCGCGGGGTCGGTTACTCAGCGACAAACAGCGTTTGTAGGGGAGAAATCCACTACAACATAACTCGTTTGTAAGTAGAGGATCACCTGTGCTGTACTGCTTTGGTTTACATAATACAGTGAACAAGTTGAGGGAACAGTAAGAAACAACCAGTGCTGTATCCTCATAAGATCATGTTAGAATATTTCCCAGCACATGACCAGAAACATGTGCTTCTGGTTTGTGTAGATTTTAAAGTTTGGATTAGTGTGTCGTGGCGTACCAAGCTGAAGGGAGGATACAGTATCAAGTATGGCAAGTTAAGTTAGGTTAGGTTATTTGGAATTACGGTGATTGATGATCTCCTGGGGAATAAAATTACTCGGGTCATATTGTACAATGCTTCACCTATACATGTATTCTGGTTAACTTAACTTCCCTACATTCATAAATTGTAAATACAGTAAATGTTTAAGCTTTTTGTGGATGTATTAAAAGTACAGTAATTTATTAATGTATTATACTGTACATTTCTTTTATCAGGTTCCTGTCAGAGCAGGCAGCGGGTGCAGGACACAGACACCGCGGGCTGCCTACCACCAGCCAACCCTCCAGGAAACATGCCCAATTCAATGACCTCTGGGTGAGAATAGACCCACAGCCGCCAGAGTAAGTCTTATACTAATAGGAAATAAATGTCACAATGGAATAATAAGTGTACCGGTATATTTCATCCACTGGTTAGGACAGCGTTAATGCGTTTTAACCCTCACATGAAATAAGCAAGGATGCCTAATCTTCAGGTTATTACGGGAGTATTCTTTTCAGACACTAAATATGTATACCAATAAAAAAAAAACAGATTCTCTTTATAAATAACAAGAGTTATCTGTATTTTGAAACAGCGGTAAAGCTCTTATCTCTCAAATACGTCAAGGGTTCGAGTCCTGCTTGGCCCGAACACACCAAACATCACAGTGTCCCGAGTCCGGTTTCCTCCTCGACTAACACTGGATAGCCCACCCGCCCAAACAGCTCGTAAAAAATGAAAAAAAAACCGTGTCCCGGCAGTGGAGTTTAGGCAATTTACTATACCTTCTGTAATCTGAGTGTTTGTTCGTTTAGTCAAAGTATTTTGGTAGAATTGGGACTAATATTATATTATTTACGTGTTTAATACTTTATGTAGTGACAATGAAATGGGCGATGGTGCATGCAAGTAGAGTTTAGATTGCGTGGTATATTATCGATCTTTGTAAATTCTAAGAAAATACTGTATATGTTCCGTGACAATGTTTCTATATTCGTAGTTAAAAATATATAAGCTTAAAATCATAGTTAAAAAATCAGTGGATAGATTTAGATAATTATCCACACCACCGCAAACATAATTTGCATTTCGAGGACGACCAATACTCAGGTGACTAACGTTGGTGGGTTGGGAGGGCAAGGTGGCCATATGGTCAAGGGGAGACCGATGACAACCACCACCAGTCCACCAATCAGCTGTTGTATGGTGGGAGAGGAGTTGACGTCATAATGCTAGTAAGCTTCAAATAATTAAAATCTTGAAGTATGTGTAAAAATGATAGTAAATAGTACATTAGTTTTTAAAAAAATTATAATTATTTAGAGAGAGATGCGCGAGGTCGTAGGTCTGTTTAGGGAGGGACCACAAAGCCTGGATGACTGACTGGGATGGGTGTTGGTAGCTACTCTCGTCTCTCATAGGTGTTATCCAGTGTGATGTGTCAGGTTTCCCTCTATTTACAGTACTTGGGTTTCCTCCTGTAATAACACTAGATGATACGGTCCATAACAAATGTAACAAAGACTAACCGTCCAAACGTCTCGTAAGCTTATGTGGTTAATGATAAACTTGAGGTTTACGGTGTCTACCACATGACTCGAGGCTGGAGGAAAAGTGTAGTAGGATATGGTATCACTCCCGAGGGTGAGAGGGAGGGGGGGGGAACGTTAGAAGGAACATTTTTGAGTAACAGAAGATTATAATCACTAGTGACAAACAGATAATATCATTTCTAGTAACATACATATATCAGTAATGTGTATGTTTGTGTTAACAGACCATACGACCAGCACGCGTCAGACTACCTGGAGGACACCACTAGCTTGTCTGTAGACCCGCGAGACGAGGAGCTGGTGAGGGAGTCACTGCGTGTGTGGTATGGTCTGCCCGCCGCGGCCAGCTCTGCCAGCCAGCCGTCACACCTCCCCGCCACCCTACTGTTGCTGGGCCTACTACACTGTCTTCTCCACCCCTGGCCACGCCTACCTCACGTTCTGTAAGTACTATAATGATGTTACTCCACCGTTTACCATATTGTATTGGATTCAATTGGGTGTAGGAATTTTTTCATTGCCTTTGTTTATTTCTCGTGTTATGTGCCTCATAAATATACATAGGACTCGTTGTATACATATTTTTTTAATAGCTGTTGTCCTCTGTCCGGCCACATACAGTATATCTTTAGTTTTGTACACATCAGTAAAAGGGTCTTCCTAGCAGTTACATCTTGTCATTTATTGATCTTGTTACTTGTTCCATTTTTGTTTCACTTGATACATCTCATCATGGTAGGTGTCAAGATCAGATAGTGAGTCAGTGATGTTGATCCTGCGTAGAGTAATGAGCAATGAGTGTTTTAGCTGGGAGAATAACAGCTAATTCATATTGTAGAGTGGATGCCCAGTTATTGTAGGTGGTCCAAGTGATGCTGTTTTTGGTGTGGAGGTTATGGTTGTGTTCAAGAGCTCTCACTTCGGCGGTGTTTTGAAGATACAGAATGGGCGGGTATTAATCTGTAGGTATTGTGGTGTATATTAATCGGCGATAAGAAGCCTCTGATGTCTTAGTCTTGTACAGGTTGTGTAGTCCAAACATCCTCATATCCTAGTTCTTTGCTCTTATTGAGTATTTTAGTGCTAGTGGAGCAGCCTGGGGGTAATTCTGAGGGGTTTACGTGAGTCACCCCCTAAACATACAGTATATCTGAAGAAAACTGTAACTAAACTGAGGATCACCTGAATTTATTTCCCTCTGTTAGTTCACAAACCGGAAATGGTAATGTTTTCTGTGTAATGTTTTCCCTTTACTGTATTACAAAATGTCAAAATGAAACACCGAAATAAGACAAACATTTATTCAATTGTTTCCTGCAGGGCCGGATTAAGCTTAATAGGGGTCTGAGGCACATATCAACTTGGCGCCCCTACCCTCAAGGTATATAAATATATATATATATATATATATATATATATATATATATATATATATATATATATATATATATATATATATATATATATATATATAGCAAGAACAAAATATACCCAAATTTATCAATGTTCAAAGAGACAAAAAATTGAGACGTTGCTAGGACATCGTGTTTTATATGCTTCAACTTCGAGAATGTTTGGATTTGGGGGCCCCTTAGAGTCGGGGGGCCTGAGGCCAGTCCCTTAAGTGCCTCATGGCTAATCCGGCACTGGTTTCATGAAATGGATTGTACGTTTGTGAGCAACTGTTTGTTAGGCAGTGGTTTGGGGACCTTTTATAGCCTCTGCACAATTTCTTTTATACTTGTTCGACACACTGTCAACCAACCACAATGGAAAACTGTCCAGAGGCATCACTGTTGTCATTTGAAGTTGCTTTTCAAACTCCTGAAAAAAGGCATCGTACAGCTCCATGCCGACCGCAGCAGGCATCTTCTGGGTGAACATGAAATCCCACAGGTGGTGAGACAGCCCGTGCATATTGGCTGCCAATCTGGGGAAGCGGAAGCCTAGGGCGACAGCATGTGATGTCACGCCCCTCAACACGTCTATCCTCTTGATGAGCTTGACAAACTCTCTGGGTGGTGAAGCTGTAAGACTAATGGGGTACGGCTCTCCTCCGACTTCTTGGCCGCTAATATTCACGTGGGAGCCACAGTTTTGCACGAGAGTCTCGCCGTACAGGACATGCACCATAGGGACGAACAATCCACAGGCTAACCTATCTCTTATTCGCGATGGTAACATTTTGGGCATGGTAACGTTATCACTGGAGTAGTTCCGTTCCTTTACATCTGGATGAAGTCTTAGTATGGCTGCCGCTACAAGACTAACTGAAAGCTTGCCATTTGCCGCCATATGCAGGTGTCGCTTCAAGCGTCCCATCACAGTTTTCACGCATTTGGAAGGAGTTTCTTTCACAAACCGGGCGAGCAGTGGACACAAGTTTATCATCCATGGTGGGAGGTTTTGGGGGTTAATATTTGGGAACAGCTCGTGAATGAGCTGTGCCACTGCCACTGAGTAGTGATCGTTCACTTCTTTCTGAGCTTTGTGAGTAGATTTCGAGATTGCGCAAGCTGGGTCTGGAGATCGCGATACACTGCCGAGAGGCTGCATTATGAAGCTTTTATTTGTAACAGGCTCTATCATGGAGTCTTCACCGCTACTCACACTCATCGACTCCTCAGTACACGACCTGCTTGGTCTTCGTGTTCTTGTGTCCTCCATGATTGGCACCACTACAAGAGTCGGCACAATGAAATGGCTTGAAGTAATTTGTCTAGGTAATTACCTCAGTTCACAGATGATAACTTCCCCATATCACGGAACATTGCCAACCATTGGACTGTCATACAATAAAATGTAAGTTATCTCGCCACGATAACTACAGTTTTCACCTCGCCTCCGTCCGCCTGTCAATACAAACGCAAGTCGAATGATGATGTCACGGGATCCTTGGGGATCAGCCTCTGCACGGTCTGCTTATACGGACTAGTCAGAGTGAGAATACACTGGCAGCCTCTCCACGCCCTGAGACGAGGCCTACTCAGCGGCTAAGGCTCGCTCCCGTGGACCAAGCACACACACTACAGCCAAATAAGATTTTACTGTCAGTTAACCAGAATAACACCAGTGTTTCGTAGATTGTGTTTGTCTTTACCGATTTTGTTGCTACGCAGAACACTACAGTCACAGAGAATGGCCAGTTCCAGCACGACCATGTAGTAATTGTAGATAATAATATCTTCATTCCACATGGCACTGTTCATTTCAGATGACGATAGACGAATTTGTTTGACGACGATTACTATATAAAATTCCTAAATATAATGAATGAGCATTGTCTGTATTATCACGATGTCTTACGGCAGTTTATTCGGCCAACCTTGATGCACTTTCACTTGGTCCGCCGCTCAATCAGCCACTGTGGGTTCACGCGGTTCACGCTCAAGGCTCAGGCGGGACATGAACGAGTAGGGTTACCTACAACAATTTTTCATTAAGAAACATGTGATATTAGTATGTCAAACTTACGGTTAATGAAAATAGCATTTAAGCGTGAATGATTATCGGGATTCTTTAATAAAGCGTTGCGGGTGATGGCACATCGTTAAATTGTGTATACAGTACTGTATTACCTTAATAAATTAGACTTTGAATTCTACAACATGGCAACTTTGCATCTATGTTTGTGAATGAAATGTAGGATAACTAGGATCCTCCCGTGTTCCATTGTTGTGGATCCATATACAGGCTATATACAGTATATATTCATTAATATGCATAGATCAACAAAAAATTCAAGCGATTTAACTGTGTCTGTATCTCCTAGTGGCTACACGACAAGGTGATGCAGAGGATGAACGACCCGATTTTGTGTCAGCAGTCATCACTGTTCACCAAACCTCTACATTCAACAGACACCAAGTTGGCAGTGGTGAGACTGTTGTGAAGAAGACGTCAGTGTTGTAAAGAACTCTCCTATGACCCCGAGGACAACAATGAAATCAGTCACAGACGGAATAATAGGCCCCTTTAATAACTCTTGTCAAAGTATATACAAATACTGTACTTAACCTCTTGAAAACACCAATTATTGTAGGTTTTCAATAATTTTAATTGTGTTCATATTTACTGAACTCATTATATTTTGTACCTATGATAGATCTCATTTCAAGTATTAAATAAACCACTCTTAAATGAAAAACAGTTAAAAATATTTAAAGATTTTAGATTATTTGTCAGCTAATTATTTAAAGTACAGTGCTCACAACCTGTGAAAACAATAATTCTCAGGCAACAGAACAACTTTCACTTGAGATATTTTAATAGTGAAGGCATAGATACTCTCAGTTATACTCACTGCAACAATGCATTAAGGGGGTGTCAGTACAGTAACTCAATATTTAAAACATGTGAACCACAACATTGGATGAACTATGACACACACACACACTAGCAATACTTTATGTGAGTACTATACTGTACTAGCAGTGTTCAGTTGTGAACTTACAGTCCAGAGTACAGTACACTTGTCCAACACTACCTGCTAAGATTAAAGTTTTATGTATAACCTCTGTTATAAAAATGTAAATATATGTGGGATATAAGTGGTAAATGTTGTAAATATTTAGTTCCTTCAAGTTGGAACATTTAACATAGGGTGTGTGAGTGTACTATGTTATAAACACACAAGTGGCCATCCTGAAAGCTAAGTTGTCAGGGGATGTGTATGATGTAATTTCCTGATCCGTCCTACTTAAATGAATCAAACATTTTTCTATTGGCCCAAAGCATTTTTCGGTGTTTACTGTCCAGTTCTGCCAACGAACATGTCCACATATTAGCTGCTAAATGTATTACAGTAGTGGTGTTTTGAAACTTGCTTTAAGGAACATAATCCTCACATGTGGCATAGAAGTCACTCATGGCAGAAGCACAAGGATTGTTCATATACTGTATTAAGTAGCCTGCTCTACTTCAAGTGTTTGACCAAAGACTAAACCTTAACTGGATGTTTATATAAAAATTTAAGTCCAAATGCTTGGCCCATCTCAGTAATGTATATCTAGAGACTTTAAATATTTATCTTTTTCTCATTTAAAAAGTAGAGACACTGCAGAAATATACTGTTGATACTGTGTGTATATATATATATATATATATATATATATATATATATATATATATATATATAAAATCGGGAAAAAAGGAAACAGACACCTTAACTTTAAGTCTTTTATTCAGGAACATGTCTTGGTCAAAGGCAGGCTCTAGAGTGCCTAACATTATCAAGATTTATCTTATCACATTTTTCATTATTGGATCTACATGACTATATATATATATATATATATATATATATATATATATATATATATATATATATATATATATATATATATATATATATATATATATATACTGTATATATATATATATATATATATATATATATATATATATAAAGAGAACAGCGGGCACGCTTGACGTGCTGTTCAAGACATGTGAGATAAAGACGGATCTGCATAAGAATATATATATATATATATATATATATATATATATATATATATATATATATATATATATATATATATATATATATATATATATATATATATATATATATATATATATATATATATATATATATATTGTAGTATTGCATGAAAAAACTTCGAAAAAAATCATCATTGAGACAAGATGCTGTGCCATTTTCTAGTGCATCTTTGTACCCCAAGACCAGTATCCATCACTATACAGTACTCGTTAAAGGGCACCTATGGTCATGTAGTTAAGATACGTCCAAGTTTTATTATGCATACCACTTTGTAATGTTCAGGACTGTGTATTAACAAGCTGTTTGTGTGAAGCAGCTCACGCCACCTATCATGTGAAAGTGTTTTTCCAGGTTTGTAGAAGTACGTAGATTCCTCACTGTATGTATAGTATGTAAGTTTATCTATCTCGAACCTGTTATAGTTATTTGTATTTGGAATAGAAGATGAATCAATTTTCATATAATTTTGATATGAAGTACATGAGTTGCCTGAGTGTGTGTGGTGGAGAATGTTGAGTTAGTACAGTACAACTGACTACTTTATGTACAGTAATGAATTACAAAGCATCTCAACAAATACAGACATCAGGTTTACAATAGTCATACTTGTGCCATATTTTAATAGAAGCAAATTCATAACTGGCAAAATAGTGAATACCGTACTGTACCTATACTGTGTACTTGACTACTGTACATGTTATTGTAATTGTACATGCAGAATTCAATACTGTACAGTTTAGTGAATCTCAAGCTTCATTATAAAATATATTAATATAATTATGCTGTCCATCAAACATGTGCCATGGGTGTATGGCAAATTATCGTATTTGGGGGGACAAGTTGTAGCGGCAAACTGCTCTCTCAAATGAAACTGACCGACTCAAAGAGCAAGTTATAAATGCTGCCACGGGTTACAGGAGCGGTTTTTAGTTTACTGAGACTGTCTTCCTACTACTACATGGAGACTAGAGGCAACAGTTGTATCTGTCATTATTAACCTGGTGGGGTGCAGTATTTCACCTCATATTAGTCCTAGTCTCCATGGTTATCCTCAGCAGTGCAAGAACTACATTCAGTATTAACTGGTTCATGATGCTTCACAATAAACATGCTTTTAATGGGTATACAACTATACATATAAGATTGGCAGTGTACAACATTATGAAAGTATAATTTTAATATTTTACTCTGGTGCCATTTACATAATTTTGAAATTTTATACAGTACCTGAGTAAATTCCTGGTATACAAAAAATAAATACTAAAATTTTGAAAATATTTATTGGATAGTGTCACACATTTATCACAGGGGCTCAATGGTAACACAACTAAAGATATATTATTACATTATTGACTTTATTTTTATTTGATTTAAGATTATACAGTCTAATTTGACCTTGTTTACTTGGTAATAGTGTGCACGCACATCTCCCCAGCTGACCCTGCTGCTGAAAGTATAAGGAATAATCTCATTTAGTATAATTAGACACATGCCAAAGATTTATTCATTGTGCTCTTTATTTAGTTTTACCTCTAACCAAGGAAAATCAATCAAGGACAAATGTACAAGGCTATCAAACCCCTATTCATTATACAGTACAGTACATATATACAAGGGCGTGTTATGAAGTCACAATGTTGTACTAATTTTGTCTTTTTCAGGTGTGGGATTCATACCTTAACACATCAACAAAGATTGGGCAACAAGGATCAATCAATTGATCACTGAGGTCTCTGGACTTCACACCTCTCGATTTATGCCTCGCCTCTGGGGTCACCTAAAATCTGTTGTCTACCATGGTTGATAAAGAACAAATTTGTGACCCCAGTAGAAGAAAGCGAGAGGTGTGGGGTTCGGAGACCACAGTGATCAATTGATTGGTCCATGTTGCCCAATCTTTGTTGATTTAGTATGATTACCTCACTCAATTTACAGTACAGTAATGTACAGTAGCTAAAACTACTATCTGTGCAGGTGGGGGTCGACATGATCCAAAATTTTATGTGTGACTAGTGAGAGCCCTCCGTGTGACTAGTGACAGCCCTCATATACCAATATTTATCGTCCATGGTCTCATATTGTTTCCCACAAAGTATGCACAGATAGTTGTTTTAGCGACTGTACATTTAGCTGCTATCAATTGGTTTTACCTTGCAAAACTACCTAACATCAGTTCTGTACTACCTTAGGATGTCTGACTTAGCCTGTTGTACAGTAGTGTAATTAATCCTCTTCTACATAAAATTGGGTTAAAATTTACAAATGACTGCACTTTTACCAGGCTTACAAAGATTTTCATTACCTTTAAAAAGAAAAACAAAACTTGTTAATTTTGAGCAACAATCTTGGTTTCTCATTAATGCCAATTGACATATTTCACTTGGTTTGAATATCACCATTTTGAGTTTGTATGTGTACACACACACACACACACACACACACACACACACACACACACACACTCTACATATATACATGCACAAGAATTTTATGAAACTACCCGAGTGTGTGGTAAACTGCATTTTTACGCAGTAAATTGTTTTTATATATGGAGGAGAGCGTGTGTATAGAGATTATGCCCCACATTGGGGCGACATCTGTAGGCCTATATTATATACCTCAAAAAATGCCAGGGCCGAGTACAGTATACATAACCACACGAATACATATTCTTAAATGCCAACACAATACCGTATATAATTATGTTTTTATGGGAATTTCCTTTGTGCAAGAAAACATTTCTAAGACATATATAATTATATTAAGAAATTTTAAAAGCGCTGTACATGTTTGCCAAATTAAAATGCAACTGGACATGATATTTTAATAGGATATGAATACCACTGTTAATGTGTGTATACTGTATGGAGTTTTTTCTGTTACCAGGAAGACAGGGACTATTCCTTTGTGCCTAATCATCCTGGCACCACTGTTATAATAGGCAATATCACTTCACGTGTATCTGGTCACCTGTGGTAAACATTATGGTCATATTACTTGTGTCTGTCATATATAAAAACAGGGTCCTAACATGTCCAGTTGTACAAAGTGAAAAACTTTTTACCTAAAATAAGTCATTTACATCTGCTGGTCCAGCTAAACTACCGTAAGTGGTTTGGTTAATAATTTTTAATGTTGGAAAATAGGACAATTACAGCATAAATAATGTTATGCTGCTTAGAATTGAATAGGCTTGAAAATATTGTAATAGTGGACAAATCAACTCTTCAAGATTTTTATAATTATTCATACTTTGTAGCTGTAGAAAGAGATGAGTAGGAATAGGTAATATGTAGTCTTTTGTCAAATAAATATGTTGTAAAAATTATAAAATTTATTTCTTAAAATGTATAATTCCCTGTATCTAACTTTTATTATTAGTTAATGTAATAATCATAGTAAAACTGACAAGTGTCTAAATGTTTCCACTCCCCCAATGTTGTGTGTTGTTACATATCCTACCTCAGTGATTACTGTTACCCTTTACTTCACTTCTAGTTACTGTACTTAGGAAATTGTAGTGCTGCATTTTCTTTAAACTGAGCAGCTGCAGTATTGCCAAGGGTGCTACAGTGCTGATAACTACCAAAGGTTACTTAAAAAAAAGGAAGTCACCTGCAATTGCAACATTAGGTAGGCAGGTAACCTTTGATTACCTCATGGAGTAGCGCCCATGCCTTGCCAGCTATAAGAGGGCTTTTGTAGGTTCTATATTATATCCTACATTATAATGCCCAGCTGCTACTACAGTATGTAGAAGTTGGTTAGTAATTACCATCAGGTAATTCACACAAGCATGAAAAATGGCTGTACTGTAAATGGTATTGATGATTCTTAGGTAGCAGTTAGTAGGCAGCTACCAAACAGGGAGGTACTACAGCCTGGGAAGATATTGGAAGCATAATGTGTTGTCTAATGGTAGACCCTGCTGCCATATGGCATCACTATAAATTGTGACCAAGTCACAGATTGCTGATTGACTTTCTGCCTTATTTACACAATTGTAAAGTTTCAATTGTTTCTCGTACTTTGACAGCACAACATACTGTATATATCTATTTTCACTATTGGTCTCTTATTTTTTTATTTTAATTTCTGTATTTATGGTCGAATTTATTCATTTTTCACCACCCACGCCCTGATGTGGGTTGGTGCCCGGGTGGGCTAATCCCTGGGGAAAAAATTGGTGACAGGCTTCCTGGTGTGAGCTCTGTGGGTTCCGTAAGACAATTAAGTAGTCTCCCTCCATGTTAGAGCTTATAAGATAGCAGGTTCTCCAGGGCTGAGAATAATGGTTACAGTACAGTTTGCTTAACAGCTTTACACTCAGAGGTGGCCTAGATATTTATTTTCTTTAATAGTCTATGAGATACATACTGTAGAGCAGTGTTCTCTGATGGGCAAGTGATCTTTATTCACAAGTTAGGCTTAATTTTGCTATACAGACACACTACAGTTGTAAGGTGCATGTGGATTGATAGACACAAGATGGCAGAAATTCCACGATTGCAAAGTGGGAGAAATGAAGAAAGTGAATAATGAAAATTTAAAATAAATGGATTTGCATAGAATTAGGATGGTATAATAATGAAGTACTATACCCGAGTTGTATCTAACATAACTGGACTATTTTATCAGTACACCGACCATGGAGACAGTAATGTAGTATTTGAGAAAGTTGGGAAACATCACCCAACAAGAAGAAAGTTGTGGAAGAGGTACAAGTCATTATTAAAGTGAATAGGTTTAGATAATTAGCTAAGTGATGTGTACAACTGGGATGCATCTCATGAGAGCAGTAATTGCATGTGAAATAGACCTGGCGGTTGTAATGAATAGTGTATGTTGAGAAATATATCCAAGCCCCAAAAGACACCGACAGTATAAGCTTTTGGGATACATTATTTGTCATGTTAAGAATAAGAATACAGACATTAATGTGTGGTCAAATCTATTTACTGTTCTTGAATGAAATGTAAATGAAAAGTGATCTTGTTTATAAAAGACAGTAGGAGTTTGAGTTTTGGTGGCAGGTGGCTTGTGCCTGTCTCAACTATGGACGTGTCGAGGGAATAAAGTGAACCTAACATAGATACAGTTTTATGATGACCAATATTCACAAGAAGAGTTCTCTAAATAAGTCAACAACTTTTTTCCCGTCAAAGCAGTAATTTATGAGGAAACTCAGTGTTTACCATTAATTGTTTACCCTCACTGTCTGTGTGTATTGTTTGAATACATGTACGGTACTTTAAATTACGGCATTCTCTATATACACGCTGCTGTGTCCCTCGGCGTGTTTCAGCTCCTTTAATGGGGTATATTGTATGTCCTAGAATTAGGACGGCTGTTTGTAATTGACTGACAGTTTTGTTTTGGGGATGTCATTACTTGCCCAAACAAGCTTTAAGGGATTGCAGTGATGACATAACATAGGATTTGATGGTCGTCATCACCTAGGGCCGCATCCCTGACTCCTCCAGAGGTGGCAGGTGGGATAATGGCTCTTGTCGGTCCAGACTCCACATGGCCACTCAAGTGACCTAAGGCCACTTCATGGCCCAGGACACTCAACTTGTTGGTTGGGTGGCCTATATTAGGGACTAAAAGACGTCATTTTCTAAAGGGGTCTGGGATGGGATGGTAACTGCCGTCTGTCCATGGCTCAGGAGTTGTGAAGGCTGACCTTCAATTTTACAAACTGACAATCGAATCTTTTAAATGAAGCTACATTACTATATGTGTATTTCATCTTTGCCCATTCATTTTTAGTCCTCATTTGCTCCTGTTGAGTTTGTCCTTCATTATCCAATGCCATTTCTGGATAAAACCTTAAGGTCTCACATTGACCCGGGCCAAGGAGTGAGGCGCAACAGTGAACAGCTCGTTACCTCCAGCCAGTCTAGGTATGTATACTGTGTACCTGCGTTGTCTATATGCATACTGAACTGTATATCTTTAATTTCTGCATACATGTCAAATTAACTGTAAAGTTATATGATGATTTTACTCAATAAATATGCAATTATCAATCATTTAAACGAGGATGACAAGTGAGTGATTTGAGGTGTACGAACAGTTGACAGTCCTTCAAAGGAGCGTATTAATAATTAATGTAATATACCGTTATGGTATAGATTAATATTTCAATTGGTATTATTTACACATATATTTAAAATACAAAATACAAATCATTCGTAAATAATTTAAGATAAATATAAAAAGTTTGGTGACTTGACGCAGGAACTCGAACACATCAAAGATGGCGGCCGCTGGATGAGGAAGTCGCGGCCATTTGTGTGGACGGGAAATAAGTCGGTATGTACTGTACTTTATAGATGATATTACACCATATATTAGACAATGATTCACCCTACTTATTATTTAACTATTATTTTGGGCTGATATATCGTAAACACGACATTGTTTATGGTGAGGTGATTTAAATGCTTCGCTACGAACCATTTAATTACCTCAATATTTATAACCCCACAAAATACACAGAGGTTTAAAGAATTGGTTTGATTTTTAATGTAGTTAGGATATGGTGGCTATTTTTATAGGCCAGTAGAGCCTATTTGTCCATTTTGTTGTTTTGTACGGGGATTAATAGCCCACACAGGTCACTGACCCACAGCAGGGCCCTATAGGGGGAGAAAATGTAATAATAATAATAATAATAATAATAATAATAATAATAATAATAATAATAATAATAATAATTCATAGTAAATAAAATTTATAATAAATACAAAAAATCAAAATAAAATAATAAAATTATAATGATAGTAATAACACTAATAATAATAATAATAATAATAATAATATTAAAGAACCATAAAGAAGAAAAATCAATAGTGAGAAACATTACTGTATATGTATGTTGTGTTGTCAAAGTAAGAGAAACAATTGAAACCCTGTGCATTTGTGTGTGTAAATGAGGTAGAAAGTCAGATAAGCAACCTGGGACTTGGTCACATATGACAACAGGGTCTACCATTAAGCTTCCCATGCAGTAGTACCTCCCTGTTTGGTAGCTGCCTACTGCCCATACTTGGCAGTCCCGTTTACACCCAACCCCATTGCTCATAATATCCATCCAACCTACTGTATGTTTGAAGCTATCCAGCGTATTCTAGTTAATGATGATGTTTGGTAACTTGTTCCACTCGTCCACTACTCTATTTCCAAACCAATGTTTACCTATTTTGTGCCTAAATTTAAATTTGTCTAATTTAGGTATTATTGCGTTTAAACATTCCACGTTCCTACCACTAATCTATGATCATATTTTAATAAGACGTTTAATTATAAGATCATTTTCATCTATTACATAACCGTCTCAAATGTGTAATAACGGAGAAAGCAAATCCAAAATTTTCTCGATTTTCTTCCATTAATCTCCGCCATTTATCGCCAACCTCACCTCTCACACTGCTTGTCTCCTTCATAAATCATCACGCGCATGCGTTCCCATACACTTCACGCGACCAATCAAAAGCGTTTTTTTTTTTTTTTTTGCAACCAATTAAAATGATTTTGGGTTTAATTCGTGGTATTTTTGGCCCAATCAACATCGATTTTTATTTTGGGTCTCATATTTCGAAATTCAAGTTCAGTTCCGACCATGGAAGTCTGCGATGGGTGTCACTTCTATTATATGGAGCTGATTGCAAGTTTTTGGGAAAAAAACGAAGAGACTGTAGCATTTTTTCGATCGCATGGTGTTCTTCCAACCTCAATAAAGTGTACTAAGAGCAAGACAATGTAAATATCGCAAAGACCAACATATGTGGCGTTGTGTAAGAATCTCAGAATCCAAGACGAACAAGAGCGCCTCCTATGGTGTAGGTGTGTCATGTTTTCTTGCATGTGTATGTTGAGGCAAGCTCGGGATATGTTTTTGTGCTACTTTAAAAACAAACAAATACAACCAACACCTACGTATTTTTTATTAGAATTAAAAAAAAAAGTGGTATTTAAAGTAAATACAAACTGTAATTATATTTAAACACTGAGGTCCCAAACAGACTGTTACTGAGAAGGAAAGATAGTGCTTCAGATGTTAGGTACATTATATTCACTCTACCTTTTATATTAGCATCTACAATGACCACAAAGAACAAGAGAAATGGGAATTTGTAACAAATTACAACCAGGATGTACATAACAAGATGTCACGACACAAACTAGACTTTATAAGGTGGAAAATAACTAAAACCATTTGCTCCCCATATAGGAGATGGCAGGTGGGCAGCAAAACTTAGTAAAAAATTACATTAGGGTGATGTCTTTAACTCTGTGTTACCAATAATTTCATTGATAAATCCGATTTAAAATTCTTTATAATCGGTCGATTATTAACCACCGATTAATCAGTAATTGGCTAAATTACTTATCGGCTCAATCTTGCTTTTATTAGAACCTAGTAGTACCTAAGTTAACGGTATATGCTATGTCTAATAAAGTTAATGATAGGGAAGACTGCTGGAGATATGATTGAAGAGCACAGGGGGGACCCCCCAAATTCGCGGGGGTCGGGTTCTCAAAATGGGGGTGGAGGGGGGGATAAATTTTTACTTGCGTACAAAGAAATGTATACTGTATTCCCTTTATGTGTTTGCCCTTAGGACAATTATTTCTTTTACCTGTATTGTATATACCGTATATACTCGTCTATAATTCTACCTCGTTTATAGGTCGACCCTGATTTTTTGACCAAGAAATCATTAATTTATGATATGCCTCATTTATAGGTCGACCCAAGCTTTTGAGGGTAATGGAACAGCAAAACCTTCACTAAAAACACTCTAATGTCCTATAAACTGAGGGTCGCCGTGCCGGAAACACCAAGCGCCGAAGGCAAATTGTTTACCATTATTACGACACTTTACACTGAAACATGGGTAGTTTCAGCAAAAATATTGTATATTTCATTCAAGTATTTATTCAAGTCGATTAGGAGGGAATATTATTGTAATACAACAGTTTTTTTTAACTGAAAACCATTCGAAAAGCGATTACGGTAACTTCTTCTGAACAACGAAAGAAAGCGGAAGTCGATTGTTTTCGTCGTGATTTTATCCCACTTTCCACTGTAATACGTACGTCATTTCAGCAAAAATATTATATTTCCGTTAATGTATTATATCGAGCACAGTATTAATAGAATATCATTGTAATATACAGCTGCTCCCCGACTTACGACGGGGTTAGGGACCGACATCCAGGTCGTAAGTCGGAAATGCTTAAATAACACATAGTAATAGAAAATGAGGGTCTCTCTTTCTTCTGAGTAGTACCTAACTTAACCAACCAAAGTATGTGTTGCCACTTCCTCTGCCATATCGTAGATTTTTGTGTCGTCGGCAAACATTTTGCAAACTGATCGGATGTTATTTGGCAAATCGTTGACAGATATAAAAAGTAAAACTGTTCCATGGACTGATCCTTGTGGAACTCCACTTGTTACTTTCACCCACAGATTTAGCTCTATTTACTGTTGCACATTGTATTCTAACAGTTAAGAATCCTTCGATCTGTCTTAATGCATTATCGTTAATTCTAATTTTGTTTAATTTGTATAATAACCTATGATGTGGTACACTATTAAAAGTCTTCTTAAATCACCTTTATATACATTTTCTTCAAAATTTACAATACCTGTATCTTCATTTTTATCAGTCTAAGGTTTTTAGTACCGGTAAGTTTGTCCCAGGGTCTGGAAAACCTGGAAAGGGCTGGGAATTTTACAAATGAACTTGGAATTTTATGTGAATTCAGTTAACTTCAAAATATTGTTATTTTGACATCAATCTTACCATAAATTAATGATGTACTTTATAATAGGTAAATAATTAAACTTTTGGGAACAAATTTCAGTAATAGACCACTCCAATAACTGACTTGTTTGTGTACCTACAGTATCATATTTCATGTTAGTGATCAAATAACTAAATATTACAGGTTATTCATAATAATTCTGTAATGAGTATTGTTAGTTGAATTGTTCTTATAACTAAGTGACTTTATTTAAGTGGATTATTCCACATATTAATCATGAATCATCCTGTAGGTTGATCAGGAGTGTGATTTTTTTGTTTTTGCCAGTTTTCCAGCTATTTTGGAATGTCTAATTCGACCCACGTGAATCTCACAAATCCGAGGAGAAAAATATGGGGGGGGGGGGTGTTAAGGTCTTTGCCGATGTTCATCACTAGGCTTAGGATGGGTCGTGAAAGGATCTTCAATTTCTTGATTAATATAATTTATATTTTCTTTAAATATTTCCCAACAGTATATACATATTATTGAAAACCTTTAATTTTGTTATTGTCATAATAAATACTGAATTATTGTACCTGGAATTTTTCAAATTTACACCTGGAAAATCCAGGGAATTTTGTTTTGTCTGGTCAGTAGACACCCTGTAATATGGTAAATAAATTAACTTTTTATGGTATAGTATTAACATTTCAAGAGACAAAATTATGACTAGGTTATTTTACCATTGTTTCTTAACATTACTGAAGAAAGAATCCCCATTTGTAGGTGACATGATGTACCATCTTCCTGAGGCAGTGGACCAGAAGGTATGACACTGTAGACACTGGGAAGAATACTTTACTACCATCACCAAGTGGCATCATCAACATAACCAGCCAACTGAAGTTAACCTGAGATGGACACAAACTTCACCTGCTGCTGTATGGTAAGTCCATTGTGACTAATAGCTAAACTCTTAATTGAACATATCTGTACTCAAGGCCATAACCAGGGTGTAAGACAGTACAGTAGGCCCTGTTCAGAGCTAAGAAGGTGGATGGATATTGACAAAGTTTTGCATAGAGATGGGTAGATATGGTGTAGGTATATGGAGCGGAGGGTGGAAACCAGTTAGGTCAAGAGATGGACAAGTCTAAATGTGGAAAGGAAGAGAGCCAGGGGTAGGTCAAGATTATCAACTTTCCCTGCCTGTGAGCTGTATGCTGTTATGGTCAGAGTTGATTGAGAGGGAAGGCTAGTTGTACAGTTTATGCTATGTCTAATATAGTTAATGATAGGGAAGACTGTTGGAGATATAATTGAAGAGCACAGGGGCCCCCCAAATTCATGGGGGTTAGGTTCTCAAAATGGCCGTGAATCGCCAATTCCGCGAATCACATTTGCATGCCCATTATTCCTGAGCGTGTGTTTAGTGACGACAGTGCTCACGTTGACACCCCAGGAATGCTTGGTGATAGTGATTTTGGTATAGTACTCATCATACAAAAGTGACTGTTATGCATCACAAGACCTTATTGCAGACTGTTCCGGTACAGTTACGTGACATGCACTGACGGCAATAATGACGATGAAAGTGAAGATGAAAATGATGACAGTGAGACTAATGATAACATAAACAGTGACACTAATGTATCACAACAAGAACATCAGACTGTGTGTGAGGAGGTAGAAGTGGACAGTGATGAGACAGACCTTGATAGTGATGAAAGTGAGCCTGACCCAACAAATGCTAGTGAAAGTGAGCCCTTAACTCAGTGTTATAATGAAACTGTACCCGATTGATTATGATGAGGCCATTGAAGCTATACGCACTCCTCAGGATTTACGTAACTTCAAGTTACTACGATCTTCATGGATAATAAAACGAAGGAACTAAACAAAGTAAGATTGTAATACTATTATCATAATATTGTTTTTACCAAAGATTATGCAAACTTTCTCCGCCTTTATATTCGTATGTTAATTACATGGGGGGGGGGAGATGGGCGTAGTGGTTTCTTATTATTACTCACTATTATACTTAACAATATTATTAATCTTTGACTAATAATAGGGACGGAAAGATAAATACTTGTAGACAAATGAGTTTATTATTATTATTTCATTTTTTGGGGTGGGTCTATGGGGGGGGTGTCACACAAGTGCTGTTTTTGGTGACCATTAACTTGTTTTACAGTATTAGTCCACAATAATAAGAACATTTGGCAGAAAGATGCGATTATTCTGGGTGTGAAGATTAAACAACTGTACATCACGGGTAGTTGTTCTCATTCAACTTGCGATAAAATAATAACTATTCACAGTACAGTATTAACTTCCAGTTTTCACAGTTCGCTGTGAGAGGGATTGAGCTGCACGATAAAAAAATAACCCTCTAGCTTAAAAAACAAAAATTTTATGGTTGTTTGAACTTCAAAAAACATTAAACTTGTTTTTCTCTGGTTTTTGAATTTGGCGCTTCACCCCTTTTAATGCGTAGCGCCTCCTATGGTGTAGGTGTGTCATGTTTTCTTGCATGTGTATGTTGAGGCAAGCTCGGGATATGTTTTTGTGCTACTTTAAAAACAAACAAATACAACCAACACCTACGTATTTTTTATTGGAATTAAAAAAAAAATGTGGTATTTAAAGTAAATACAAACTGTAATTATATTTAAACACTGAGGTCCCAAACAGACTGTTACTGAGAAGGAAAGATAGTGCTTCAGATGTTAGGTACATTTTATTCACTCTACCATTTATATTAGCATCTACAATGACCACAAAGAACAAGAGAAATGGGAATTTGTAACAAATTACAACCAGGATGTACATAACAAGATGTTACAACGACACAAACTAGACTTTATAAGGTGGAAAATAACTAAAACCATTTGCTCCCCATATAGGTATACTGCCAGACTGGGGGTCACTAATGCTAAGGCGGAATACTTAACTCTAATCTTAATTTCTAAGGGTCGCTGCCACCTGACCCCCTCTGGACAGCATGTAGCTCATTAGGTAGCGTGCAGGGTGGACTAGGCATTGGGTTAGGTTTTCCATTGACCAGATCGATAAGGGGAAAGAAGGGTGAAACCATAACATGTCTTAATTAATTGATTCCTTATAAAGCATATTGGTAAAAAACATACAAATGAATTGGTCTATCTCAGAAGAACAACGAAAATGTTGGTTACCCAGATGGGCACCAGACGTCTTACATTAATGGCGTGTCATCCACATACTTATTGCGTAACAATCTGTGACCACCTTACCTCGGTCATTCCTTCTTACACTACCCCTTAAAACATCAGACTGCTCCACCTGTATGGAATATAGCACCATCGGTTGTCATACATAGTAGCACCCTCTCAACACACCCGTTACCCTCCACACCTGCAGGTATGGGACTCCTTGTAATTTCTAGGTATACCTAACAGGCACCTCGTTCGCACACCGCCCTCGGTGGGTAGAGACGAGGGCTACACCAAGAGACATACCAGTGCTATTTCTACGCCTGGTATTATAGGTCGCTCCAAGTGACAACCGCGGAGTTTCTCAAGCGTTTCCTTATTTGTTTTACTCATTTGGGGTGGTGTGCTGGGGATCCACAGGCTCACAGTGGAAGTGCCTGACCACTGTGGTGTGGCCTTCACAGTGTGGTCATGGCTGACGCCCGATAGGCGGTCAGAACGCGTCGTCCTGTATTGGGAGAAGTCGAGGCATCACTGAGAATACTGCCGGAGAGGCTTTCGTCACACATTAGTACACTATGACTTCACTTTGACATCAGGCAAGGTTTTAAGATGTAAAAACTGCTAGATAGGTCCTTTTTAGGGCTGAATATAGCATGATAAAGGACACTGACCTGTATTGGGAGAAGTCGAGGCATCACTGAGGGTGAAGTCCCGACTCCCCCCTCCTCTCTGTTTAGGCCTACAGTTTCCAATCTTCAATTTTCACTTTGGATTCTTATGGTTCCCACATCTCCATTTTCCTATCTATTGTGACCTCATGCTTTAGAAATACATATCTTAATCCTAAGGTAAGGGTCTGGTTTGCTAGTTCCTGGGTAAATTCATTGGGTTATAATATCAACGCGGCACACCCGAGGCGGCCTAGGCGCCAACCCAAACAGAGCCTAGCATCGTATTTTCATGGCGTGGGTATACGAGATATTCTTTTTGAAGCATAGTTTCTAGATCACTTCCAACACTTCACATAGTTCTGATACCTTTATCCTTTTTCCAGATCATTGTTCTCATGTATTTTCATATGATATCTGTGGAAGTTATGTTCGCTACACGTTCACAGACGTAAAAAGTATGACCTTCAAACCGTGATCCACACTTAGTCCTACAGTACGCTAGCCCGGCTCAACTGGACTTTCCCCATCATCTTATGGATACCCTGAATTCTCCTTGATGCTATGAATGCATACAATTAACATTATATAACTGTACCTGGGTACAGTACAACACATGGTCTAGTAACATTGAGTAGGTGAATTATCCTTTAACAGTGTTTCCCGTTTTCTGAGATTCTACAAGCGCGGTGGATTTGAATGTTATATAGTGTAATATGAATAAAATGGGGTTTTTAGGAATGACAATGATGTGCGCAGTACATAGGAGATGGCAGGTGGGCAGCAAAACTAAGTAAAAAATTACATTAGGGTGATGTCTTTAACTTTGCCGTGCCAATAATTTCATTGATAAATCCGATTTAAAATTCTCTATAATCGGTCGATTATTGACCTAACTTAACGGTATATGCTATGTCTAATAAAGTTAATGATAGGGAAGACTGCTGGAGATATGATTGAAGAGTACAAGGGGGCCCCAAATTCTCGGGGGTCGGGTTCTCAAAATGGGGGTGGAGGGGGGATACATTTTTACTTGCGTACAAAGAAATGTATATTCCCTTTATGTGTTTGCTCTTTGGACAATTATTTCTTTTACCTGTATTGTATATACCGTATATACTCGTCTATAATTCTACCTCGTTTATAGGTCGACCCTGATTTTTTGACCAAGAAATCATTAATTTATGATATGCCTCATTTATAGGTCGACCCAAGTTTTTGAGGGTAATGGAACAGCAAAACCTTCACTAAAAACACTCTAATGTCCTATAAACTGAGGGTCGCCGTGCCGGAAACACCAAGCGCCGAAGGCAAATTGTTTACCATTATTACGACACTTTACACTGAAACACAGGTAGTTTCAGCAAAAATATTGTATATTTCCATTCAAGTATTTATTCAAGTCAATTAGGAGGGAATATTATTGTAAAACAACAGTTTTTTTTAACTGAAAACCATTCGAAAAGCGATTACGGTAACTACTTCTGAACAACGAAAGAAAGCAAAAGTCGATTGTTTTCGTCATGATTTTATCCCACTTTCCACTGTAATACATACGTCATTTCAGCAAAAATATTACATTTCCGTGAATGTATTATATCAAGCACAGTATGAATAGAATATCATTGTAATATAACAGTATTTTAACCAAAACTATTAAAAAACGAGTAAAATCTCTTGAACATCGGAAGGTTAGGTAAAGTCTTTTGTTTTCGTCATGTATTTTATCCTATTTTACATTGAAATACATCACGTTTCAGCAAAACTACTATTTATTTCCGAGAATATATTCATTCAGGCGCAGTTTAGGTATAATATACTTGTGATGTAACAGTTTTTTTAACTGAAAACGATTCGAAACACACGTACCCTCTAGCCCTGTTCAAGGAGAGGACTGGGAGAAGCTGTTTGGTGCTGAAGACGATGACATGGAAAATGATTTGGGTGGATTTTAATGAAAACATTCAGAAATATGGTATCGTAGTATTTATTCAAGTCAATTAGAATAGAATATTATTGTAATACAACAGTTTTTTTAACTGAAAACCATTCGAAAAGCGATTACGGTAACATCTTTTGAACAACGAAAGAAAGCAAAAGTCGATTGTTTTCGTCGTGATTTTATCCCACTTTCCACTGTAATACGTACGTCATTTCAGCAAAAATATTATATTTCCATGAATGTATTATATCGAGCACAGTATTAATAGAATATCATTGTAATATACAGCTGCTCCCCGACTTACGACGGGGTTAGGGACCGACATCCAGGTCGTAAGTCGGAAATGCTTAAATAACACATAGTAATAGAAAATGAGGGTCTCTCTTTCTTCTGAGTAGTACCTAACTTAACCAACCAAAGTATGTGTTGCCACTTCCTCTGCCATATCGTAGATTTTTGTGTCGTCGGCAAACATTTTGCAAACTGATCGGATGTTATTTGGCAAATCGTTGACAGATATAAAAAGTAAAACTGTTCCATGGACTGATCCTTGTGGAACTCCACTTGTTACTTTCACCCACAGATTTAGCTCTATTTACTGTTGCACATTGTATTCTAACAGTTAAGAATCCTTCGATCTGTCTTAATGCATTATCGTTAATTCTAATTTTGTTTAATTTGTATAATAACCTATGATGTGGTACACTATTAAAAGTCTTCTTAAATCACCTTTATATACATTTTCTTCAAAATTTACAATACCTGTATCTTCATTTTTATCAGTCTAAGGTTTTTAGTACCAGTAAGTTTGTCCCAGGGTCTGGAAAACCTGGAAAGGGCTGGGAATTTTACAAATGAACTTGGAATTTTATGTGAATTCAGTTAACTTCAAAATATTGTTATTTTGACATCAATCTTACCATAAATTAATGATGTACTGTATAATAGGTAAATAATTAAACTTTTGGGAACAAATTTCAGTAATACCGTATATGTTGGCCTATAAGACGGAATTTGAACCTTAAAAATATCAGCCCACAATTATGGGTCATCTTAAACGCCAGGTGTAAAGTCCGAACCTCTACATACTGTGGTTTAGTGTGTCACCAGTGGTGATGGAAAACATCGTAAAACACTCGCTTTAAATCCATGGTCCTACCACTACAGTAATTATTTTCTACTGAAACTTACGTTTGGGAAGCTGGATTAAAAAATAAGATTACCGGTATATTAAAATAAAAAAATGTATTATAAACCTGTTTAACATACCGTAAATACCATAAAATAACAGCCTAATAATTGCAGGTATCATCATGCACAGCCTGCCATTTGCAACTGCCACCGAAGTAAACAAACAGCTAATCCTACCGATCATCTCGCGAAGCAAGTTTATAAATTAAAGAAAATACCTGCAGTGTATTTTATGCCTACATTTATAATATATTACAATATATTATAAATAAACAAATACACAAATAAATCCGTAAATCCATTTCAAGAAAATAATAAAATTTTACTCGACACCGACATTAGTTCCAGTAAAATAACAAACGCCTAAGTGACGTCACTAGTGTTTACACTACACCATCTGGTAACGTTTGATGCATTTTATGGTAGGTAGTTGACAAAATTTTGCCAATAAGCTCCCAGTGGTGTCAGGTTTGGGTTAGTCTTTTTCAGTGAGTATAGCTCAAAACCTACGTTTTAAATGGAAGTTTTGGGGGTCGTCTTATACACCTCGTGGCCTTGTACGCCGACGTATACGGTAGACCACTCCAATAACTGACTTGTTTGTGTACCTACAGTATCATATTTCATGTTAGTGATCAAATAACTAAATATTACAAGTTATTCATAATAATTCTGTAATGAGTATTGTTAGTTGAATTGTTCTTATAACTAAGTGACTTTATATAAGTGGATTATTCCACATATTAATCATGAATCATCCTGTAGGTTGATCAGGAGTGTGATTTTTTGTTTTTTGCCAGTTTTCCAGCTTTTTTAGAATGTCTAATTCGACCCACGTGAATCTCACAAATCCGAGGAGAAAAATATGGCCGGGGGGGGTGTTAAGGTCTTTGCCGATTTTCATCACTAGGCTTAGGATGGGTCGTGAAAGGATCTTCAATTTCTTGATTAATATATTTTATATTTTCTTTAAATATTTCCCAACAGTATATACATATTGAAAACCTTTAATTTTGTTATTCTGTCATAATAAATACTGAATTATTGTACCTGGAATTTTTCAAATTTACACCTGGAAAATCCAAGGAATTTTGTTTTGTCTGGTCAGTAGACACCCTGTAATATGGTAAATAAATTAACTTTTTATGGTATAGTATTAACATTTGAAGAGACAAAATTATGACTAGGTTATTTTACCATTGTTTCTTAACATTACTGAAGAAAGAATCCCCATTTGTAGGTGACATGATGTACCATCTTCCTGAGGCAGTGGACCAGAAGGTATGACACTGTAGACACTGGGAAGAATACTTTACTACCATCACCAAGTGGCATCATCAACATAACCAGCCAACTGAAGTTAACCTGAGATGGACACAAACTTCACCTGCTGCTGTATGGTAAGTCCATTGTGACTAATAGCTAAACTCTTAATTGAACATATCTGTACTCAAGGCCATAACCAGGGTGTAAGACAGTACAGTAGGCCCTGTTCAGAGCTAAGAAGGTGGATGGATATTGACAAAGTTTTGCATAGAGATGGGTAGATATGGTGTAGGTATATGGAGCGGAGGGTGGAAACCAGTTAGGTCAAGAGATGCACAAGTCTAAATGTGGAAAGGAAGAGAGCCAGGGGTAGGTCAAGATTATCAACTTTCCCTGCCTGTGAGCTGTATGCTGTTATGGTCAGAGTTGATTGAGAGGGAAGGCTAGTTGTACAGTTTATGCTATGTCTAATATAGTTAATGATAGGGAAGACTGTTGGAGATATAATTGAAGAGCACAGGGGCCCCCCAAATTCATGGGGGTTAGGTTCTCAAAATGGCCGTGAATCGCCAATTCCGCGAATCACATTTGCATGCCCATTATTCCTGAGCGTGTGTTTAGTGACGACAGTGCTCACGTTGACACCCCAGGAATGCTTGGTGATAGTGATTTTGGTATAGTACTCATCATACAAAAGTGACTGTTATGCATCACAAGACCTTATTGCAGACTGTTCCGGTACAGTTACGTGACATGCACTGACGGCAATAATGACGATGAAAGTGAAGATGAAAATGATGACAGTGAGACTAATGATAACATAAACAGTGACACTAATGTATCACAACAAGAACATCAGACTGTGTGTGAGGAGGTAGAAGTGGACAGTGATGAGACAGACCTTGATAGTGATGAAAGTGAGCCTGACCCAACGAATGCTAGTGAAAGTGAGCCCTTAACTCAGTGTTATAATGAAACTGTACCCGATTGATTATGATGAGGCCATTGAAGCTATACGCACTCCTCAGGATTTACGTAACTTCAAGTTACTACGATCTTCATGGATAATAAAACGAAGGAACTAAACAAAGTAAGAGCTCAATAATTATTATCAATATAAATTTATTATATTTTAACAATATTATTAATCTTTGACTAATAATAGGACGGAAAGATAAATAATTTGTAGTATAAATGAGTTTATTATTATTATTTCATTTTTGGGGTGGGTCTATGGGGGTGTCACACAAGTGTTGCTTTATGACCATTAACTTGTTTTATAGTATAGTCCACAATAATAAGAACATTTTGGCAGAAAGATACATTATTCTGCGTGAAGATTAAACAACCGTACATCACGGTAGTTGTTCTCATTCAACTTTATAAAAAATAATAACTATTCACATTACAGTATTAATCTCCCAGTTTTCACAGTTCGCCAGAGAGGGATTTGTTGCACGTGATAAAAAATAACCCCTTCTAGCTTAAAAAAACAAAATTTTATGGTTGTTTTGAACTTCAAAAACATTAAACTTGTTTTTCTGGTTTTTGAATTTACGCTTTCAATTTTTAATGCGTAGAAGGCCCTATGGTGTAGGTGTGTCATGTTTTCTTGCATGTATGTTGAGGCAAGTCGTGATATGTTTTTGTGCTACTTTTTAAAAACAAACAACATAAACTAACACCTACGATATTTTTATTAGGAATTAAAAAATGGTATTTAAAGTAAATACAAACTGTAATTATATTTAGTTGGACTGGTGTCCCAAAGACTGTTACTGAGAAGGAAAGATAGTGCTTCAGATGTTAGGCACATTATATTCAATTTCTACCATTTATATTAGCATCTACTACAAAGAACAAGAGAAATGGGAATTTGTAACAAATTACAACCAGGATGTACATAACAAGATGTTACAACGACAAACTAGACTTTATAAGGAAAAATAACTAAAACCATTTGGTTCTATATAGGTATACTGCCAGACTGTGGGTCACTAATGCTATAGCGAATACTCTAATCCTTAATCTTAATTTCTAAGGGTCGCTGCCACCTGACCCTCTGGACAGCATGTAGCTCATTAGTAAAGCGGCAGGGTGACTAGGCATTGGGTTAGGTTTCCATTGACCAGATCGATAAAGGAAAGTATGAAACCATAAATAGTGTCTTGTAATTAATTGATTCCTTATAAAAGCATATTGGTAAAAACACAAAATGAATTGGTTCGGTCCAGAAGAACAACGAAAATGTGCTGGTTACCCAGATAAGCACCCAGACGCTTTACATTAATGGCGGTCATCCACATACTTATTATAGAACAATTCAGACCACCTGGGTCATTCCTTTTCTTACACTGCCCTTAAACATCGGTAGACTGCTCCACCTGTATGGAATATAGCACCCATCGGGTTGTCAGTACATAGTAGCACCCTCTCAACACACCGTTACTCCTCCACACCTGCAGAAAGTGGGACTCCTTGTAATTTCTAGGTATATTTCCAGGCAAATTGTTCGCATTAATCGCCCGGTGGGTAGAGACGAGTAGGCTACACTAAAGAGACATACCAGTGCTATTTCTACGCCTGGTATTATAGGTCGCTTCCCAGTGACAAACTGTGAGTTGCCGCTTCCTTATTTGTTTTACTCATTTGGGGTGGTGTGCCAGATCCACAGGCTCACAGTGGAGTGCCTGACCACTGTGGTGTGGCCTTCTTACAGTGTGGTCATGGCTGACGCCTGATAGGCGGTCAGGAACGCCGGCTCTGTAATGCTGTAGAGAAGTCGGCATCACTGAGAATACTGCCGAGGAGTTGGCCACACATTAGCATACTATGACTACCTTTGACATCAGGCAAGGTTTTTCAAGATGTAAAACTGCTAGATAGGTCCCTTTAGGGCTGAATATAGCATGATAAAGGACACTGACCTGTATTGGGAGAAGCCTAGAGATCACTGAGGGCGTGAAGTCCCGACTTCTCTGTTTAGCTCATTAGCTTCAATCTTCAATTTTCACTTCTTTGGATTCTTATGGTTCCCACATCTCCATTTTGATTATCTATTGTGACCCCATGCTTTAGAAAATACATGTTCTAATCCTAAGGTGCAGTCTGGTTTGCTAGTTCCTGCGTAAATCTATTGGGTTATATTATCAACGCCGCAATTCGAGGCGTGCCTAGGCGCCCAACCCAAACATATTTCCATCGATTTTCATGGCGTGGTATACGAGATATTCTTTTTTGAAGCATAGTTTCTAGATCACTTCCAACACTTCACATAGTTCTGATACCTTCTTTATCCTTTTTTCCAGGATCATTGTTCTCATGTATTTTCATATGATATCTGTAGTTATGTTCGCACGTTCACAGACGTAAAAGTATGACCTTCAAACCGTGATCCACACTTAGTCCTACAGTACGCTAGTCTGCTCAACTGGACTTCCTGATCTTATGGATACCCTGAATTCTCTTGATGCTATGAATGCATACAATTAACATTTTATATAACTGCACGGTACAATACAACACATGGTTCAGGTAACATTGAGTAGGTGAATTATCCTTAACAGTGTTTCCCGCTTTCTGAGGAGTCTGCCGGTGGATTTGAATGTTATATAGTGTAATATGAATAAATGGGTTTTTAGAATGACAATGATGTGCTTATACATAGAGATGCAGGGCAGCAAAACCAAGTAAAAAATTACATTAGGTGATGTCTTTAACTTTGCCGCGTTGGATAATTTCATTGATAAATCCCGATTTAAAATTTATAATCGTCGATTATTGACCCAACTTAACGGTATATGCTATGTCTAGAAATAAAGTTAATGATATAGGGGAAGACTGCTGGAGATATGATTGAAGAAAAGGGTGTGGCCCCACCTCGGGGTCGGGTTCTCAAAATGGGGGTGGAGGGGGGATACATTTACTATGCATAAAGAAATGTGTATATTCCTTTATGTGCTTGCTCTTTTTGGACAATTATTTTTTACCTGTATTATATATACCGTAGATATACTGGCTTCATAATTCTACCGCTTATAGGCTCTAATTCGATTTTGACCAAGAAATCATTAATTTATGATATGCCCATTTATAGGTCGCACCAAGCTTTTTGAGGGCATGGAACAGCAAAACCCTTCACTAAAAACATTCTATCGTCCTATAAATCGAGGGTCGCTGCGTCGGAAACACTGTCAAGGCAAATTGTTTACTATTATTACTTATTATTCTTACACGAAACACAGGTAGTTTGCAAAATGTTGTATATTTCTATATTCAAGTATTTATTCAAGTCAATTAGAGGAATATTATTGTATTACAACAGCTTTTTTTAACTGAAAACCATTCGAAAAAGTTTATTACGTGTAACTACTTGAACAACTAAAGAAAGCAAAAAGTCGATTGTTTCATTATGATTTTATCCCACTTTCCACTGTAATACATACGCTATTTCAGCAAAAATATTACATTTCCGTGAATGTATATATCAAGCACAGTATGAATAGAATATCATTGTAATATAACAGCATTTTAACCAAAACTATTAAAAATCCAGGTAAAATCTCTGAACATCGGAAGGTTAGGTAAAGCTCCTTGTTTTCGCTATGTATTTTATCCTATTTACATTGAAATACATCACGCTTCAGCAAAACTACTATTTATTTCTCGAGAATATATCTTGATTCAGGCTAAAGAAATAGGTATATCATACTTGTGATGTAACAGTTTTTAACTGAAAATCCATTCGAAACACACGCATCTTCTAGCCTCTGTTCATGAGAGGACTGGGAGAAGCTGTTTGGTGCTGAAGACGGCGATATGGAAAATGATTTGGGTGATTTTAATGAAGTTTATCCAGGAAATATGGCATCGTAGTATTTATTCAAGCCAATTAGAGAATATTATTGTAATACAACAGTTTTTTAACTGAAACCATTCTCAAAGCGATTACGGTAATATCTTTTGAACAACGAAGAAAGCAAAAAGTCGACATTTTCGCCGTGATTTTATCCCACCCTTCCACTGTAATACGTATCATTTCAGCAAAAAATATTATATTTCCATGAATGTATTATATATTAATAGAATATCATTGTAATATACAGCTGCTCCCGACTTCTGACGGGGTTAGGGACCCGACATCCAGGTCGTAAGTCAAATGCTAAATAACACATAGTAATAGAAAATGAGGGTCTCTCTTTCTTCTGAGTAGTACCTAACTTAACCAACCAAAGTATGTGTTGCCACTTCCTCTGCCATATAAGTGAATTTTTGTGTCGTCGGCAAACATTTTGCAAACTGATCGGATGTTATTTGGCAAATCGTTGACAGATATAAAAAGTAAAACTGTTCCATGGACTGATCCTTGTGGAACTCCACTTGTTACTTTCACCCACAGATTTAGCTCTATTTACTGTTGCACATTGTATTCTAACAGTTAAGAATCCTTCGATCTGTCTTAATGCATTATCGTTAATTCTAATTTTGTTTAATTTGTATAATAACCTATGATGTGGTACACTATTAAAAGTCTTCTTAAATCACCTTTATATACATTTTCTTCCAAAATTACAATACCTGTATCTTCATTTTTATCAGTCTAAGGTTTTTAGTACCGATAAGTTTGTCCCAGGGTCTGGAAAACCTGGAAAGGCTTAGAATTTTACAAATGAACTTGGAATTTTATGTGAATTCAGTTAACTTCAAAATATTGTTATTTTGACATCAATCTTACCATAAATTAATGATGTACTTTATAATAGGTAAATAATTAAACTTTTGGGAACAAATTTCAGTAATAGACCACTCAATAACTGACTTGTTTGTGTACCTACAGTATCATATTTCATGTTAGTGATCAAATAACTAAATATACAGTTATTCATAATAATTCTGTAATGAGTATTGTTAGTTGAATTGTTCTTAAACTAAGTGACTTTATTTAAGTGGATTATTCCACATATTAACCATGAATCATCCTGTAGGTTGATCAGGAGTGTGATTTTTTGTTTTTGCCAGTTTTCCAGCTTTTTTGGAATGTCTAATTGACCCACGTGAATCTCACAAATCCGAGGAGAAAAAATACTAGTATCTTTCCGATGATTCATCACTAGGCTTAGGATGGGTCGTGAAAGGATCTTCAATTTCTTGATTAATATAATTTATATTTTCTTTAAATATTTCCCAACAGTATATACATATTGAAAACCCTTAATTTTGTTATTCTGTCATAATAAATACTGAATTATTGTACCTGAATTTTTCAAATTTACACCTGGAAAATCCAGGATTTGTTTGTCTGGTCAGTAGACACCCTGTAATATGGTAAATAAATTAACTTTTTATGGTATAGTATTAACATTTGAAGAGACAAAATTATGACTAGGTTATTTACCATTGTTTCTTAACATTACTGAAGAAAGAATCCCCATTTGTAGGTGACATGATGTACCATCTTCCTGAGGCAGTGGACCAGAAGGTATGACACTGTAGACACTGGGAAGAATACTTTACTACCATCACCAAGTGGCATCATCAACATAACCAGCCAACTGAAGTTAACCTGAGATGGACAAACTTCACCTGCTGCTGTATGGTAAGTCCATTGTGACTAATAGCTAAACCTTAATTGAACATATCTGTACTCAAGGCCATAACCAGGTGTAAGACAGTACAGTAGGCCCTGTTCAGAGCTAAGAAGGTGGATGGATATTGACAAAGTTTGCATAGAGATGGGTAGATATGGTAGGTATATGGAGCGGAGGGTGGAAACCAGTTAGGTCAAGAGATGCACAAGTCTAAATGTGGAAAGGAAGAGAGCCAGGGGTAGGTCAAGATTATCAACTTTCCCTGCCTGTGAGCTGTATGCTGTTATGGTCAGAGTTGATTGAGAGGGAAGGCTAGTTGTACAGTTTATGCTATGTCTAATATAGAAGATAGGAAGACTGTTGGAGATAT